GACCTTTCGATTTTCTTTTTGCTGTATCTCAGAGGCGAATCACGATAATTTTTGTTTTAAATAGTAGTAAATGAAATGTACATTAAGAAAAGGCTTATTAGAATACCATCAACCCCTAAATTCAGGGTTGAAATAAGGGGTGAATGGCTAAAACCCAGAAAATTCACTGAAAAACCTTATAATGTGTTTTCATAGGTGCCGAAAACGATTCCTATAATTACTTCTGCAAGGATTGATTTATTGGGATATCATCAACCCTTCATTTTGAGGTTAAAATAACGGGTAAGTTGCTGAAAACAAGACAATTCTAGAAATCGATGTCCTTTCGCTTTTCTTTTTGCTGTATCTCAAAGGAAAATCATGATACCGATACAATTTTTTTTTTTTAATTGTAGTAAATTTAATATAGATTAAGGAAAAGCTTATTAGGATACCATCAACCCCTAAATTAGGGGTTGAAATAAGGGGTGAATGGCTAGTACCCAGAAAATCCACTGAAAAACATTCTAAAGTGTTTTCATAGGAGGCGAAAACAATTTCCAAAATTATTTCTGCAAGGTGTATTTTATTGGGATACCATCAACCCCTAAATTGGAGGTTGAAACAAGGGGTGAATGGCTAATACCCAGAAAATTCACTGAAAAACAGATGCTAGAAAAGACTGCCGAAAGATTATGCGTAGCTGTTACATCAGATTGGCCCAAAACTGCTATGAAGAGCATAGAGTTGTCGATAACGAGTGGCTTTGATGGTGCCTCTGGCTATGTTAATCCTCAGCAGAAATTTTACGATGAGGAGAATGACCACCGAAGTCCTTATCAGTCGCTCTTTGTATGCATCAATCCTCATTACTCCTGTCTTCAGGGTCAGTCCACTGTCTGAAAATGCGGTTTTATTAGTTAAATAATTATATTTATAAATTTAGTTATAATTAAACGTTTTTATCTTACCCTGGCTTCAAAAATCGAGTAATATCATTAGTAAGTGGTCTCTTCTTATGCATTTCTCGCCTTCTGTCCAAATAAACCATTGAAAGGATTGGGTCTGACAAGTATACTGCCCTGTTGAAAGTGTCCAGGATAGCGTTTTCTCTACTATTTCTTCTAGAATGTTCCCGAATTGTCTCTCTGTTTATTTTGTGCATACTTTCGAGAGCATCTTCCGCATAAAATGCAACAGGCATTGGAAACTGCCGCACAATATCAGAACCATGTTGTAAAATTTTATGCATGGAAGGGTTCATGCGAGCCCATG